TCTTATTTTCGGGGTAGGTCTTATTTTTTTTAATGTACAACAATCCATAGTTAATGCAAATCCAAATTAAATAATCCAAAATGGCAAAATTAAGAATATGGTGATCAGGGGTGCCGTATCTTTCCAAGAGCAATGTGGTAACCAATCGCTGGCCAGAATTAGCGAAGCGCGCTTTCACTATCGATTCCTCACAGGCGGAGCGCATTTGTTATCACAGGAGGCGGCGCTATAGAGGAGGTATCGGCTTATGCGGCTCTGCTCCCTCCGATGCCGCCTCGCTTCCACAAGCGCTGGCTTCGTTGGCACCGCTGATTCTCTCCCGCCTCTCCTGCGGCTCTTCAAGTTCCCCCTTATGCCACCACCGGCGCTGGGAATGGTTACAACTAGGTCTTATTTTCGGGGTAGGTCTTATTTTCAGGGAAACACGGTACTAAAGCTGATTCTCCCAGACCCGAATGGCATTCGGGATCCAAATTTCCGAATTGCATTCGGGAGCTCCCAAATGCCATTCGGGTCTGGGAGCCTCAGCTTTAGTAATATATGTATATACTGAACACAAATTTTCATACGGCATGTGAATTTTCTGGCCAACCAGATGGCTCCCATGTTGTCGTAACGAAAATTTGTGTTCACGGACCCAATCGGATGCATTAAACCGAACAACACTTCTGACTGGCTGGGAAAGTCACATGCTCGATTCAGTTTGGTTTTTGAACGAAAAACTCCGAGATCCGAGCATCCGAGATTCGGAAATGGAAATTCGGATATGTCCGAATTTTGATTCGGAATTAAATGAATCGCACATGTCTAATCTCACGCTCTGCGCAGACCTCTGGATAAAGCACGGGGCCCAATCACAAGAACATGAGATGTGGATTCGGAGCAATCGCATGCGCCATCAGAGAATTAAAATGGTTGCAAAAAGGAGAAATGGTTTATTTGTGAAAGATTCCCGCTGGCTGCAGACGGAACTGGAAAATATGGCTTGTGTCATATTTTTAAGTTTTAATAAAAGCAAACGGATGATAAGTCTGTAGACACAAATGAAAATAACGATAGAGAAGACTGTACACAGATACGTTGCACATAGGCCTCATCACATGATATATATAATCCAGACAACAGACCGTCCTCCGCATACACCGAGGAGCAATAAGGTTGTCTGTGTGCAAACATCAACGCTGCCAGATCCCTTAAATCACACCAAATGAATCGAATCGCTGTTGGGAGATGGGAGTCCGGATTCTCCCACATTACATATGCTGCAACGCTGCTACCAGGAGCCAATCAGCCTGAAAAAGCACAAGCTGTATAATGTGTATTTGGTTATCTGCAGATACTGTATATATGTTTATAGAGTTTTTTACATGTCCCTAATTACTACTTTACATGTAAATGTCTCCAGTCCCTTCCATATCAATGGATCCCTAATGTAATGTATCTAGGGTCTTCCAATCATATAGAAGTGTCCAGTCCCTTCCATATCAATGGATCCCTAATGTAATGTATCTAGTGCCTTCCAATCTTATAGAAGTGTCCAGTCCCTTCCATATCAATGGATCCCTAATGTAATGTATCTAGTGCCTTCCAATCTTATAGAAGTGTCCAGTCCCTTCCATATCAATGGATCCCTAATGTAATGTATCTAG